GCAGTTACAGGTGGTTTTGTGCTGGTGGTTTGTTAGTTATTTTTTGTTTTGCTTTTTTATTATTTGTGTCATATTTATTATATATATGTATATTATGCATATATATATATATATATATATATATATATATATATATATACCACGCACACACATATATATGGAATAAGCGTTTTATCACTCTTACTCTCCATATATATATATATATATATACACACACATATATATAGATAGAATAAGCATTTTATTTCTCTCTCTCTCTCTCTCTCTATATATATATATATATATATATATATATATATATATATATGCATTTGTAGGAGAGACATTTATTTTTTCAAGTTCGTATTTTACATTTTCTATCGATCACTTTTTCACTACGTGTGCGTTCTTTCAGGCAAAAATAAATTTAAATATATATTCCTATAGATAGATAATGATACACTGGGTAACGTTGAGCTATAGTGAAAACAATGTGCAATGAGAATAGGTAAAGAATGTATTTACTATGCAGAGCTTTGTTTAGCCACAAAGCCAAAATATGGGGCATTATTTGAGAATCGACCTTGCTCTTAATAGGTCAGCGCGATAGGCTTGCTAAACAGAACTCCAAGACGGGCTGAAGAATTGTCTTCTTCAATAAACATGTGTTTACCAGTTAGATATCGATATGTGATATGAACAGAGCAAGAATAATAAAAAATCGGGTTCAAGCTACCCAGGGTTGGGATTAATATGAAATCAGATTCGAGATATCCGGGTGGGATTAAATATGAAATCAGGTCCATGATACCCGGGTTAGAGAGTAATATAAAATCAGGTTCAAGATATCCGGGATGGAGAGTAATATAAAATCATATTCAAAATACCCGGGGTGGAAAGTAATATAAAATCAGGTTCAAGATATCCAGGGTGGAGATTTATATAAAATCATATTCAAGATACCCGTGGTGGAGAATAATACAAAATCAGGTTCAAGATATCCTGGTGGGATTAATATAAAATCAGGTCCATGATACCCGGGGTAGAGAGTAACATAAAATCCGATTCAAGGTATCAGGGTGGAGAGTAATATAAAATCAGGTTCAAGATACCGGGTTGGAGAGTAATATAAAATCATATTCAAGATACCGGGTTGGAGAGTAATATGAAATCAGGTTCAAAGTATCAGGGCTGGAGAATAATATGAAAATCAGATTGAAGATATCTGGGATGGGCTAACAAGAAATCAAGTACAAGATCCTCCATGATGTGAAATAATATGAACCGCTAGGTAAATTGAAAAATAGATAGATAGATAGATAGATAGATAGATAGATAGATAGATAGATATGTAAGACGATAAATTTAAATATATATCACATCAACGTCATGAGCAGGTCGCCATAAATACGATCAACGATTGCCGCAAATGGAACGCTATTCTGCCAGCCGACATATTTATAACCCCTGTTCAACAGGCTCTACTTAGTCTGTGTGCCGTTTCTAATGCCATCTGTTTCTTTATCGGACTTTCGCTGCTAACGGGATGGAATTAGGGACGCCTGAACAAAATGTCGGAATTGGAGTTACTGTCGATTGTTTGTGCCTGTCAAAGGTCATTAGTTACGCCTTGCACGTTGCGGGTAAGTCATGCGGTAAATAAACAGTTAATGGCTATTGTAAAAGGAACAAAGAAAGCGGAGACGAAAAGAAGACAAGTCTTCAAAGCATTTCTATAATATTACGTTTTTGTTATATCTATATCTTGCCAGTAAAATTCGAGAAAAAAAATCCAACAGTTTTACGAGTTAGCCAATCCCGTCTGTAGACGCCAGCTCAGGAACATGTCTCTTTGATAATTTCATGCTTGTAGACCACAGGAATCACTCTCACACTCACTCCCTCACAAACTCTCTCTCTCTCTCTCTCTCTGACATAGACATATATATACGCACGCACAGTGATTTTCCGAGATAGGCAATCCCTGTTGCTGAAGCCTGCTCAGGCACATTTCGGCTTGATAATTTCAGCTCGAAGAAGACGAGAATCACTCTCACTAATTCTCTCTCTTTCTGTCAAACCCAAGCACATACACATGCACAAATATAAATATGAATGTTGGTCGTTATTTTAAGAAGTAAGAGAGTACAAATGAAAAGATTTGAAATTGGCAACTTTTCCCACTTCATTGAAACAGACGTTAAACAGTTCTCTCTTCCCTTCTTTCTTGTTTTCATTTTCTCACTGAAACCAAGTAGCGTCTTTGATATATCACTTGTCTCCTCACGCGCTCAAAACGGAATAGTCAATTATTTATTAGGTATTGGCAGGGTAATGGTCGTGCCAAGTAACGGACTAACGAAGGGTGGGACAAGCACAATTATTATTTTATATATATATATATATATATTTAATTAATTCATCGAGTCTGATAGAAACCTCCACAGAATGCAGGAAGCACTGGACGGCCGTTTCGTCCTATATTTGGGACTCATTGGCAGTGCGCATCCACTACCGAGAATTGAAACCCTGACAGTTAGGTTGTCAAGCGAACACCATACCAACTGTTCCAAATGGGCCTCGGTGACGAAGAGATTCCAAATCAGACTCAACTTAGCGCCGCTCGCTCACATATTCCGTGGTGGAACCACACTGCGTTCCCTGTAACCATAGGACTGTGCCCCCTGGAGCCACGACTACTCTCACCAAGCCGCTCCAACTGGAGCATTAGAAGCCGGTTCAAGCGATGATAAATACAAACAGTAATTATTGGGAGGATTTGATAATTATATTTAATTAATTCATCGAGTCTGATAGAAACCTCCACAGAATGCAGGAAGCACTGGACGGCCTCAAGTGTTATTTGATGTCAAATATATATATATATATATATATATATATATATACAGCCTAAAACCTAATGTCCACCGAAAATCAACCAATAAAAATGACCTCATCAGCTTCTATTCCCATCATAACGACAAAATGTAATCTGGAAAGATAACTGGATTCTATTTATGAGCACTTAGAATTTGCAGCTCTCAATATTTACACGAAGAGGAGAAATATTTTCAAGACCCTTCAATTCCCAAACTATTTCATATTCAATGTGAAACAAAAGGCTTATAAATAAAATATACCAAAATAGAACAATTGTCTTTACTGACAAACCCACCGAATCAAAAAAAAATATTATTCTACCCACTAACTCTCTCACAGCTACAACTGAAAAGAATTTATCTAAACTCAACTTAAAATTTGTCACAACTACGTCTAAAACAATCAAAGAGTTAATCAATAAAAAACAAATCAACCAGCCAAAATTTGAAAAATGCGAGAATTGCCAGAAGTAATACACTGGAGAAACCTCAAGAAAGTATATGAACGCATTGGTCATTCAATGTAACGAAACTGACCACAATTTTGACATAGAGAATGTTACTATCCACACACACACACACACACACACACACACACACACACATATATATATATATATATATATATATATATATATATATATATATATATATATATATAATAATAATAAATAAATAAATCCTAATGAGCTAGGTACTACCTATCTAGGTTTCATCACATAGGAACATCAGGGTGAGCCAGTTCACCTGATGATGTCATGTGGTGGAACCTAGGTAGGTAGTATCTAACTCATTAGGATTTATTTATTTACTAACTCTACTTAGCATATTGAACACTTCGTTTTAACTTATTATTCGCTGGGTTTTTTTGCTTGTTTTTTTGCTTGTTTTTTTTTTTTTGTTTTTTTTTTGTACCAGAGATTTAAGGTACTGGACGATTTCTTTCGCCCTGTTCGAAGGTTTCTGGTGCTTTCTTTTTTTTTCAAAATTTTTTTCCTCAGGTGCCAATTTGTTTGAAAATTGTGCTACCCAGGTTTTTTTTTACCCACTGAGTTTAAATAGATATGCAATATATATATATATATATATATATATATATATATATATATATATATATATATATGTGTGTGTGTGTGTGTGTGTGTGTGTGTGTGTGTGTGCGAAAGAGTTTGCATTAATAAGTCCGTAGCCTGAAACGTACTTATTTGTAGAGTTCTAATCTGAAAATTTTCTATAGTATTTGATCTGTGTGTAGGCTTACGGTTGGCGACTTCGATTGATCATTCAGCACAAGAATTATACACACAAAATATCTACACTGCGTCAGGGTGGGTGACGTAATGGTTTCTCAGCACAGAAAGTGGGCCGTCCTGAGTAAGACGATAAACTACATCCGGCAGCATGGTCTTTGATTGGGAGGTTTTCAGGCGTGTCTCGCATGTTTTGCATCAATAAATTTAGTTCTTTGTAAGAGGTAGTTGTTTTTCTTACGTTCTCCAATGTGTCCTCAAATACCTCACGCATATATACACAGACACACACACACGCACAAACACACACACACACACACACACATATATATATATATACACACACAGACACGCACACACAAACACACATCTGTGGGTGTATGTATGTGTGTATATATGTCTATCAAGAAAGAAAGAAAGAAAGAAAGAAAGAAATATTGATAAAGAAAGAAACATCGTAGGCCTAGAAAAGAAAGAAAGAAAGAAAGAAAGAAAGAAAGAAAGATGGAAGGAAAGAAAGAAATTAGGCCTAGAAAGAAAGAAAGAAAGAAAGAAAGAAAGAAAGAAAGAAAGAAAAGAAAGAAAGAAAAGAAAGCAATGGAAGGAAAAGAAAGAAATCAGGCTTAGAAAGAAAGAAAGAAACATCGTAGGCCTAGAAAGAAAAGAAAGAAAAGAAAAGAAAAGAAAAAAGAAAGAAAGAAAGAAAGAAATGAAAAGGAAAGAAAAAAAATCAGGCTCAGAAAAGAAAGAAAAAAGAAAGAAAGAAAGAAAAAAAAGAAAAGAAAGAAAGAAATGGAAGGAAAGAAAGAAATCAGGCTCAGAAAGAAAGAAAGAAAGAAAGAAAGAAAGAAAGAAAGAAAGAAAGAAATGGAAGGAAAGAAAGAAATCAGGCTCAGAAAGAAAGAAAGAAAGAAAGAAAGAAAGAAAGAAAGAAAGAAAGAAAGAAAGAAATGGAAGGAAAGAAAGAAATCAGGCTCAGAAAGAAAGAAAGAAAGAAAGAAAGAAAAAAGAAATGGAAGGAAAGAAAGAAATCAGGCTCAGAAAGAAAGAAAGAAAGAAAGAAAGAAAGAAAGAAAGAAAGAAAGAAAGAAAGAAAGAAAGAAAAATCTGCGACCGAGAAAAAAAGAGAGAAATGTTGAGATCTAAAGAAAGAAATGGCGAGAAAGAAAGAAAAAAGAAAGCCTAAATGCAAAGAAAGAAAAGGCGGGAAAGAAAGAATATAAATAAATAAACTTAAAAGTGAGAAAGAAAGTAAAATAAAAGAAATTAAATAAAATAAAAATACTAATCTTCCAATGAAAAACCTTCTGAGAGGAAGGTAAAAATGGGCCCCTATAATTATTTCTATTTGGTTTGCTAAGTTTTTTTTGTCTTATTTGAAAAGCATGAACACTAAAAAGGCCTGTTAATGATCACGTTAGCACCTTCGAAGCGAAAATTAGACAAGCAATGCTCCAATTTAACAGCGACGTAACACGCTTCTACTAAACCAATAATTGTCACTGCTTCAAACGAGATCTTTCATTTAAAAAAAAATCTCATTTTGAACATGAGTCATAAGATGCTACTGACAAAAGTCGTTTAAAATATCGACAAAAATATTTTCATTTTTTTTTATAGATTGTTGTTTAGACCACGACGTTTCGACCGGTACGTTTTCTGGCTTTCCTCAGTATTATCGGTAATACTGGGATGAAGTATTGCGATTGTCGCATGAATTACGAGTAATAATATTCTACAGCCATCATTTTTAATGTTGAGTCGGTTGAGATCATTTCGTTAATTTAATGACATATCACACACCCCAAAATGTTATCTGATGTCAAATATATTTAGAGGACAAAAATTGCAAAGAGTAGATAGAGAAGTAAAGTTCTACTTCCACTAGACTCAAAACGATATACGCCACGAGAATCAAATAGATAGACATAGATTCAATTTATCTTATAGTCAAAAAGATATAGGCTAGATTTGAATGAACAGATTCAATTTACTTTTGTATAGACAACCTTTTTATACATTGAATATTAGATGAGATTAGGATAATCTAATGTATTATATATAGATATATTATATATCCCTTTGTATAGACCAGATTTGATTCAGGAATTCAATTTATCGTTGTATAGATAACCTTTGTATATATGAAATATTAGATTAAAGTAGGATAATCTAATATATTATATATAGATATATTATATATCCTTTTGTATCGGACAGATTTGATTCATAAATTCAATTTATCTTTGTATAGATAACCTTTGTATATATTGAATAATAGATTAGATTACTATAATCTAATATTATATATAGATTTATATCCGTTTATATAGGCCAGATTTGATTGAATAGATTCAATTTATCTTTGTATAGATAACCTTTGTATATATTGAATATTAGATTAGATTAGTATAATCTAATATTATATATAGATATATATCCGTTTGTATAGGCCAGATTTGATTGAATGGATTCAAATTATCTTTGTATAGATAACCTTTGTATACATTGAATATTAGATGAGATTAGGATAATCTAATCTAATATATATAGATATATTATATATCCCTTTGTATTGGGCGCATGGCCGAGTGGTTAAAACGTTCGCTTTCTGACTATGAGAACCGGGTTCAAACCTCCACAAGGTCGATTTGCTGTCAGGAAGGAGACTTCTTGATGTTATCGGTGGAAAGTGCCTGAAAACCATACCAAAGGGCTGACCTATGCCTTATGAGTGAAATTGGATAGAACGTCGATTCGGTACCTTTGGAAAGTGCCTGAAAACCATACCAATGGTTGACCCAAGCCTTGTGAGTGAAATTGGGTTCGTCGATAGCTGTGATAGAAGGGTTTGAGTTTGCTGGTGTTCAGATTGTTGATCATTCTAGATAAAACGCTCTCTCCCAAAAACTCTTACTATTGTCTGCTCAGCATAGTTGAAGTATAAACCACATGTACCTGAGCGAGTGTCTGCAAGAGGGATTTGATTTTTCGGCTTATTTGTGAGTTGTTTAAACGCGAAACATATATCGGATTGTAAGAATAAGTCTTTTCTTGCGTGCGAATATTTATTAGCCCTTTTTGTGAGCAAAAAAAATGATTTTTCCCCGAATACAAGTGCTACTATTTAACCCATAGCTGGGGGAGGAAATGGATTCATATCTTTCCCAAGAGTATTTCCGCGTAAGTGAATGTAACAAAATCGACCGGAATTCGAACTCGTCTCTCAGATTGCACCATCTGCACATCCTTAGAAGGGTAGACATATGTCCGGTTTAAAGTTGAGTAAAAATGATTTATAAAAGGTAGACATGGATCCGGTTTGCAGTCAATTTAAAAAAAAAAAAAGAAAAAAAGAAAAAAGAATAAAAAAGAAAAAAATAATAAAAAGAAAAAGAAAAGAAAAATGAAAAAAAATGAAAAAAATGGTAGATCTTGATAGGCGTTATACCCGAGTATGAAAATAACCAATCAGAATGTGGCTTCTATTTGGGGACGGGTGTCGTGGCTCATATTCACCTTTTGATCTTAAACCCAAATGTCTTCAATGAATAACAAAGACAAAGGTATTAGCCATGCCGTTCCATTACTTTTAGAGAGGACTGTAGATAATTATTTAAAACAATGATTCCCGATGGGACATGGTAATATTTTGGTTGGGCAGACATAGGATGTGCACTCTTCGGCTTACTATACTAACAGAATAAGAGGGCAATTCGAGAACGATTTATTAACAGAGAGTTACCCTTTCCATTTTCATATTTAGATGAATGTGGCTTCATGTTGTAAATGATTTGTTATTGAAGAAAAGAAATCGACTGGATATCACTAAACGAGGAGACTTAAGCTGACTAAATTGGTGCCTAATATAAAATCTATCTGTAGCAGCCATGACGCAGAAGGATTTCACTAACAGTCATTTTGGGATGAGCTTCAATTTCATTTTGCATTATTATTTCATGATTAAAATGATCAAAGTACAAAATAAGCTTTGTTGTGTCGGAAACCTACCACCCCTCTTGAAGATGAACTTGTCTGCGTCTGTGAACAAAGACTTTAAATAGTGGCATGTCAGTTGACATGGGCAAGATAGATAGACAGAGAAGTTCTTAGCTGAGCTAGTTATTGACTACTCAGGCGATTTCTGTACCTTTTTACCAACCTATTAAAACCCTTTTTATTGTTACGTGTTATTTGGCGTTTGTCTCTACTAACCCCAAATCAACATCATAACAAGTTTTCATTTAAATATTTTCATATTTCTGACGTTCAATTCTCTATTATGTTTTTAAAATTATATATATTTAACTGCCTTCAGGCACCTCGGCTTGGCGTAATGTTTAGCAAGCTTGTCTCGTTAGAACAATTACGACTGAGTAAAGAGCTCGATCCTCCTTGGGTGCCCCATACATACGGCCTTGTGCCACATCTAAGCTACGCTTAGAAAATCAATATTTAACTGTTTTTTTTTCTCTTTCATGGACACCATGGTTTTTGGAGGCTTGTTTAGAGACCAATTTAATGGCCTTTTAAGATTCCTTCACTTGAATTGAAGCAAAATTTTGAATATGTAAGAATTAAATATTAAAGTTGGGGGGTCTCCAGAATTTTACAAATACCAAAGGGGGGGACCAAAATCGGTTAGCACCCACTTATTTAAAATATCCAGCCTAGTACTAATGGAATTAGTCTAACTCTCACTGGGTCTCACACACATGTGGCCTTGTGCCATACTAAATATACAATATGGTGATTTAAATAATTGAGTATTTGCTACAAGTGTCAGCGGTCAGTGTTCAAGTCCGGTTCAAAGCCAGCACCTTGAGGAGTTATTTTGAAGGAAAACCTTCCCCGATAGTGAAGTTTGGCGTAACATAATCTTCCTACTGTACTAAGTAAAGATTAGTAAGTGTCATAAATATCGCCATAGGGCAATAGTTCGTGCTCGTGTCACAAGCTCTAACTACTGCAGTGAGTCTTGTCGCCACCATTAGGATGGATCGATAAGTCCGTAGCCCGACACGTAGTGAACAGGTGAATTTTGATCTGAAATTTTCTCTATGTGATGTTTGTGCTATGGGATTAATATTTGCTACGGAATTAAGATTGAGAAGAAAGAAGATTACGTAGATTAAAAATAAAAGGACCGTATAAAGCCGTTTATAATCCGACTCCATGTGCGACCCCTTAATATTTTGGAGTGAATTGGAACTACTAAATAACCTTGACATATTCAGGAAGGATATTAGAATATTGCAGAACCTAAACATTGGAAGAAAACCGCCTACGTACGGGTAGAAAATGAATTCAGTTAATATACAAAAATAGAAAACGATAGAATTTGACAAGGCAACAATATTAGCTCATCTGATGAGACAGGAACATTTTCGTATAGGTTAGTCTAGTGCATATGTCCTAGAGAGTTTCTTCTTCTTCTTCTTCTTCTTCTTCTTTCTTTCTTTCTTTCTTTCTTTCTTTCTTTCAGGGCATTGGCGATCATAGCTCTCCACAATTTCCTGACCTTTCTAGGTCTTTAAATTAAAGCAGATTTTTAACCCTGTTCTGTCATCCATGTACACAAACTCGTTATGTAAATTTACTCATTGCTTTTCTCTGCCTCTTTTCCCTCCAGTAGGCCCTAGGAGTGTCAAATTCTCCAATCCCACCTTCCTCATTATGTGCCCTAGAAATTTCAATTGTCTCTTTCTGATTGTAAGTAAAAACGTCATTTTTGTTATCATTTTCCTTAAAACTTCCTCCTTACTCACATGTTCAATCCATGGAATTCTCAGCATCCTTCTGTAGAGCCACATTTCTTGGTTTCTGTTGCTTCAAGTCTCTTCTTCATCTGTGAGGAAAGTGTCCAACATGCATTGCCATATTGAAGGTTACATAACAGTTTAGCACTCTTTTCTTTGGTTCTAACAAAATTTTCTTGTTTCTTAAAACTTTGCTTACCTTTTGAAAAGCAACACGCCTTCGGATTTTGGTATAACATTGATGCTTAGTCCTTTCTTCTCTCTTTTCTTTCGCTACTTTCCGTAGGTGTTCCTGCGGTCCACTTACCTTACTGCTATCAACACAGTGTCCTCGACATATGATGTTGTGTCTGCCAGTAATCAATCCTGATAGGACTTCTAGTTCTATCAGAATCGCCTCGCTGTAAAGGCTGAATAAAAAGAGGCAGTTGAAATTTCTAGTGTACATAATAAGGAAAGAGAGCTTGAAAAATTTAACACACACATGACAATAGAGAGAAAAGGGGAAATGACGAGTAACCAATGTGAGAACCTTGTGTAAATGGATGGCAGAATAGAGATTGGAAGAGAGGTTAAAAAGACATATCTCACTAAAAACCTCAAAGAATAGGAAATTGTGGTGAGCCATGATCGTCCATGAACACGGCACATATAATGAGAATAATAATTTATTTTTATATATATATATATATATATATATATATATATATATATATATGTCTCATTAAATAATTTAGACTAGTTTTGTCTCTTATTTTTAATTGGTCCTCTCATAATTACGGAGAAGAATCTTAGTATCCTTATTAAAGGAAGAAAGAAAAATAATATATATGTTGGTCATACAACTACTACGTTGTCTCGAATGTTGAGATTTCATTTGAATGCTGCATCTAATACCTCTCAACATTTACAACAGCATGCCTGTCCATTTTCACAATTTAAGAAAATTCTTGTTGAAAATACACCTATACTTTTTCATGAAAATAATAAACATAAACTAAAAATTCTTGAAGTTATTTATATTAAAAATTGAAACCACCCTTTAATGAAATTAATTATAAATACTGCACAAATGTTTTAAAATGTTTATAGTCGATAGTTTGAAATATCTAGGTTTTAACTAATAGCTTTTAGTATTTTTTTTTAATATTCAGACATTTCAATAATTTAACTAATAGCTTTTAGTATTTTTTTTAATATTCAGACATTTCAATAATTTAACTAATAGCTTTTAGTATTTTTTTTTAATATTCAGACATTTCAATAATTTAATTAGCTACCTAGAGGTTTACATTATAAATTTAAAAATCGTACAGTACATAACCTTAGTTTTTTTTTCACTTCACAATAAAGAATTTAATTTTCGAATGAACACAACAATTTTGTCTTCGAAAAATGATGAACACAACGATATTTATCTTTGAAAAACAAAAACACTGAAGATGACATTGTGCTCATGTCGAAAGTACACGGGCTAAAATGAATATGCATCAACATTTAATAAGGACACTAAGAAACTTGTCCCTGAATATGAGATGGTCCTATTAAAAAATAAGCAGACAAAGTATATATATATATGTGTGTGTGTGTGTGTGTGTGTGTGTGTGTGTGTGTGTGTGTAAGACGCGGAACAAATATGTAATTTAATTTTAACTAGAATGTAATTTATTTTATTTTAATTTCATTAGAATTTAAAATTTTTAATTTGATTTAATTCAAATACCCTATATTTTAATTTTAATTTAATTAGAATGCAATGTGTTTTAATTTTAATTTAATTAGAATGCATTTTAGTTTAATTTACCTGGAAATTTCATTGTTAATTTAATTTAATTAGAATTCATTTTATGTAAATTTTAATTTAATTAGAACGCAATTTATTTTAATCTCATTTCATTAGAATTTTCAGTTTTTAATTTAATCGAATTTAAATGCACAAATACTTTTTGAACCAAAGAAAGATTAATTGAATTTTTAAAATAGAAGAGGAAATCCTAGACAGAAAAGGAAATTAAAAAAAAAGCTAATAAAAAAAATGAAATACGTAGAAAGAAAGAAAGAAAGAAAGAAAGAAAGAAAAAAAGAAAGAAAGAAAGAACGAATGAAGGAAAAGAAAAGGAGAAAAGAAAAAAGAAAAGAGAAAAGAAAAGAAAAAAGAAACGAAAAAAGAAAAGAAAAAGAAAAATCAGGAGACAAAATACTGAGGAGGGAAATTAAAAAAATGAAATACGTGCAAAGAAAGAAAGAAAGAAAGAAAGAAAGAAAGAAAGAAAGAAAGAAAGAAAGAAAGAAAGAAAAAAAAAAAAGAAAAAAGTAAGAAGAGAAAATACTGAGGAAGGAAATTAAAAAAATGAAATACATGCAAAGAAAGAAAGAACGAAAGAAAGAAAGAAAGAAAGAAAGAAAGAAAGAAAGAAAAGAAAAAAGAAAAAAGTAAGAAGAGAAAATAATGAGGAAGGAAATTAAAAAAAATGAAATACATGCAAAGAAAGAAAGAAAAAGAAAAAGAAAGAAAGAAAGAAAGAAAAGCAAAGAAAGAAAGAAAAGAAAAAAGAAAAAAGTAAGAAGAGAAAATAATGAGGAAGGAAATTAAAAAAAATGAAATACGTGCAAAGAAAGAAAGAAAGAAAGAAAAAGAAAAAAGAAAAGAAAAGAAAAAAGAAAAGAAAAAGAAAAGAAAAGAAAAAAGAAAAGAAAAGAAAAAAGAAGACAAAATACTGAGGAAGGAAAGAAAAAGAAAAAGAGGATGAGAAACACAGGAAACACGGGCAGGAAACACAGACAGAAAGATCACGTAACGATAGGGGCTACAATACGCGTAGTTACCCCAATTGTACGTTATTATTCCAACAGCATTACCTGTACTTAACCATATATTTAACACCTTTGTAGGGGAAAAAGCGGCCAGACAAAAGCACCAATTAAAAGATCAAAGAGACGATAACTACTGAGTAGTTGTTGTCTTTAATATATCGAAGCTGAACTTCTCATTAGACAAGACCTACCCCGATGAACCAAATTTAAGAGACATGTGACTATTCTTTTGGCTCCACTGAATCTTCCAGTAGATATCTTGCCTAATTATCTGTAAGGTGCAGTATTCCACCTTTATCCGCGGATGATATGATCCATGGTTCCAAGTATATGGGTGATAGTATTCAAATATGATTATCCATTATAATAAACCGAGCTATATATATACTTACTTCATTCTCCAATTCACTCTCGTGTAGTCATGTGTGACGTCATGAGATGCGGTGCGATTTTCGCTTCTAGCGTCTTATATGCGCGTGTTTATCGTTGCTTAGTGATCAACTACGTAAACAATGACAGACTATCATCACTGTCGTGTCCGTATATTGTTTAATATGTTTGTAATTTACATCTTTGATAATGGCTTAAGTAAGCCGAAAGCTTAGATTATATTAAAAAAATATGGATCAATATAGTGAATTTCTTTCTTCGTTTAATGATAATGTTATCAAACTTATCAGATGTTACGAACAAAATTTACATAAAATAAATAGACAACACTTCTCTATATTATTTAATGAAACGTATATATATATATATATATATATACGTGAGTGTGTGTGTGCATACAGGATTCATTCCTGTAGTTCACTGCTACTAACAAGCAGAATTTTTTTCTCCTGATGATGGCCATGCTGGCCGAAACTAGTCAAGGAATTGAAATAATAAAACAAAAATATATTAATACACAACGCAGTACGCTTGAAAATTGTAATTTTTTAATTTCTCAATGTTTTATTGTTCAGTAGATAGATAGATAGATAGATAGATAGATAGATAGATAGATAGATATCAGCTTGTCAGCTATCAATATATCTCATAACACTCTCGAGTGATTAGCCTTGGAGTGGATAGAGTGGAGATCAACGTGTTTAGTGTAATCAGCGGTTTTCAATCTGCTAGTCGAGAAGCGAGAGCATGATCTAAAAGGTCGGCCAATCTAACAGTGATCTCATCCCACAATCCTCACTATTGGTCCATATCCGGCCTGCTTTGTAAATCCCTTTCGAGTCTTAAATGCCACTTAAGATTATCGCACAAAATTCATAACTGAATCAATTGGTTAACTTGTCAGATCCTCATACGTTGAAACCGACGGGAGAGTCCATTATATATATATATATATATATATATATATATATATATATATATATATATAAATTTTCTCAACTCCACTAAGTTTTACTGTTCTTTCCAGTATTGAAGGGGTTTTCCTCCCTAACCTTTTGCTTGATGTAGCTAGAGACGTCACCATCTTGATTATGTCATTATTTTCTCTTCGTGTAACTTTTTATTTTATTTTTAATCGGTATCACCCCAAGCAAGGTAGGACGGTGGCTAAAACACAAGGGATTACAGGGTGGGGAAGAATTCAGGACAGAAATATTAATGATGACCAAAAAGAGAAGACAGTATTCAGAAGAACAGTAAATAGCGACTAACATTGCATATAAATTTTTGCAGGTTAAAGCTGGTTGGAAAGCATGGAGCCGGAAGAGAGTTCCACAAGCAAGAAGTGCGAGAAAAGAAACTGTTAGCATAGAATTTACGGCTAAATGTAGTCCGCTTAACTGTAAATTGATGAGATCTCGACGCCAGTCTAGTGCTGTGCTTAAATTAGAAAACCCTAGAGCTCATCTGAACAATTAGCTTGAAATTATTTACAGATAAGACATATGTGATATCCATTTTAGTTGTTGCTGCTGTTGAAAGTCTTCAAGTGATGTGGTTTGGAACAGTTCTTTGTGATTCTGTAGACTCAGTCTACGAGGTTTAATGAAGTATAGTCCTTATTAAGACTTCCAGGTTTCATTATTTGGAATCTATAAGAGGCGTATTATATGTACAAATTAATTGCCCAGTCCATCATGTTTATTACAGAAAGGCTCGGAAAATTCCAAAATTCTTGTCAATAGTCAGGACTTAAAGCAAAAAAAAAAAAACGATTAAATGAATACGTCTTCTGAGTTGGCATTAAAACTATTCACATATTCACGCTAGCAAAAAAGTCATCTCTGAAAACAGAATTTTGAAGAACTGAAAGCTTTCTTAGAACTCGTTCATAATGCTAAGAGGTCGCCAAAATGACCTTCATTCAAAGGACACAACAGTGTATGTGTCTCGATTTATTTCCTTCTCTTGTAGTTATTCAAGTTTTTCTTCAATGAACAACAAAACAAAATGTCGGCTGCCCTTAAAACATATTTCGTTTAAAGTACAGGCGTGGCTGATTTGATTAGCCTCGTTTTCAGTTTGCTGCCTCGGGTTCAGAGAATTACTTTTTAAAATAGGTTAGATCCGACCATCAGAACGAGGAAATGTGTTTTCCTTAAAAAGGAAAATAGAACCTGGCTGGGCTGTTAGGTCTCTGTAGAAGAGCGGACTAACACACGCCGGATTAAACGATGGTTTCTCACACAAAGAGGGATTCAAGTTCAAAGTCTGCCGGAGAACAGATTTTCTTTATTAAGATTTCTTGAGTGCGCAGGCAGATATATGTAATACACACTGTTTAAAAAAAAAAAACAAGGCGTCTATTTCAAATACGAGTATCCACTAAATTACTTTTATTAAGTCTTATATATATATATATATATATATATATATATATATATATATATATATATATATATATATATATTTAAAAGAAAAACAGACCACTTTAAGGTACCATTATAATAATTTATTTCACCAGAGTTTCGTTTATATATATATATATATATATATATATATATATATATATATATATAATAAAAAAGGCTTAAACACTAATATTCCATGGTCATAATTTATTCCATTGGAATCGTAAATACGATCCAATTCATCAGACTTACAAATTCAAAAAGAAAACAGAAAAAACAACTCCGGAAATAAAAACAGAATTTAGAGAGAGTGTAAGTATGAGGGGTAACAGACTAGAGAAGGGGGAGATCAAACCTTAACAGAGAGAATTTTAGGAGAGGTGATTGGAAGGGGTTTAAGTAAGAGAAATATGAATGTTGCCAGATGTTAAGTTAAACTCTTGAAAGAAGGTAAAAGTTACAGGAAAATCTCAAACAACCTGAATATTCCATTTACTACTATTAGTTTATTCATTGCAAGGTATAAAAAAACTCAAAACTGCTGAAAACAAAAGAAGAACAGGTGCTCCACGGAAGATTTCTTCAAGATCTTTGAGGAAATTAATGCGCCAAATTAACAAATTCCAATGCTTGCTCATCAAGAGTTTCAGGATGATTTGCTTCATCAGAAATCTGTGTCACTAAACAGACAATAAGCAATGAAATTCATAGGAACAAACTAAAATCACACTCTCCTCGGAAAACTCCACTGCTGTTGAAAAGACACAGAGATGCCAGGTTGAAATCCGCTCGTGAACATAAGGATAAGAAAAAATCGTATTGGGAAAGAGTATTATGGACAGACGAAACCAAAATTCAGTTGTTTATACGTAATTCTACAAATCATGTACTGGAGGAAAGATGGCGATGCCTTCAAACAAAAGAACATAGTTCCAACAGTGAAATTTGCTGGTGGCAGAATCATGGTTTGGGGATGTTTTTTTCTGCAAAAGGTATTGGCAATATGTCAGTAATAGATGGTAGAATGAATGCGTCAGCATAGCAAAATATTTTGGAAGCAAATTTAATGATTTCAGTTGAAAATCTTGAACTTCTTCCTGACTGGATCTTCCAACAAGATAAAGATCCTAAGCACACTGCAAAATCTACGAAGAAATGGCTTGCTGAAAATAATGTAAATATCCTGAAATGGCCAAGTCAATCCTCAGATTTAAACCCAAACGAGAGTCTGTGATGTTATTTGAAAATTCAAATCCAATCGAGAGACCCAACAAACATCCCAGATCTGAAAACCATATGCGAAAAAGAATGGGACAAAATTTGTAAATCATTGAAAACTACAGGAAGAGTTTGGTTTCTATAGAAGCGAATAAAAGATATTCTACTAAGTATTAAATGAAGATTATGTATTCTTTTTTTGTATTGTACGAATACTCTTTTCATCCATTAAGATGGATAAATGGGATTTATTACTATTAAATCACTTTTTCCTGCTTTCTATGCATATTTAGTTATTATGCACTTGGATACATTTAATTATATGAAAGATACGTTTATTAATTAGTTGGAAATACAATAAATTAGAAATTTGTATGTGTACGAATATTTGTTTGCACCCACTCAATATTTGTGCGTGTGATGGAATCCTGAAAGTTATGTTTCCAATATCTTTACACGAAAAACTACAACAGATAAAAGTCGGAGGGAGCGCTTGTTGCCAGCGAGATAAACACATCGTTATCGCCACTGGAAATGCATTTTCGCCAACGGGTGGTCAGAAGACCATTAACCGCCAATCTCGCAAAATTCAATGCCAATGCATTCGACCCCCTTTTTCACGACAGCAATCCTGAGTGGCATTTCTCATTGCCTAACTTTGCTCACATCCATCGATGAATGTCAATGCTTGACAATTTTCCCCTGCATGAAGGAAATTCAGTGACACAGTAGGGTTTCCTACTCACTTTCATGTCCGATGCTATTTTGCCAAGATGACGTTCAGCTACTATCCGAAACGACGCAAAAATTATTTTCGGATCAACCCGTGTGTATGTGCGAGAGAATACTAAAATGGTCAGAGCAGAGCATCCACCCCAACAGTGAATAAATTATGATGAATCAGACTGATAGATAGATAGATAGATAGATAGATAGATAGATAGATAGATAGATATGAATAGACTGTGATAGATAGATAGATAGATAGATAGATAGATAGATAGATAGATAGATAGATAGATAGATATGAATAGACTGTTATAGATAGATAGATAGATAGATAGATAGATATGAAGAGACTGTGATAGATAGATAGATAGATAGATAGATAGATAGATAGATAGATATGAACAGACTGTTATAGATAGATAGAAATGAACAGACTGTTATAGATAGATAGATAGACAGATAGATAGAA